ACGGGGATGGGGGCAGCTCGCGCTCAACTTCATCAACGTGGCGAGCCTTGCACGTGAGAGGCACAGTGGAGGTGGAGTTCAAAGAAGAATGAGAAATTTAATGGTTTCAATCTGCCCTTGTTTGTTCTTTTTCTTTTTATTTTTGCATGTCATCACTGTGCCCGTTTTTTGCTTTTATTCTTTGTTCCGCAAAGTGCGCTCTTTTAGTTTGTAGTGATGTGACAATATATGGGTTCATCCTCCTGATTGGTCAGTGAAACTCCGACGAAACAGTTTGTCACAGCCCTTCATTTGTTGTCCTCTTCTCCCTCTCTGCCTACGGCTTACGGGGCAGCTCTGTTTGACGATGTATATAGTCAAACAGAGCTGCCCGGTAAACCATAGGCAGAGGGGGAGAAGAGGACAACAAACGAGGGGCTGTGACAAACTGTTTCGTCGGAGTTTCACCGACTCATCAGGAGGCTGAACCCTCATATATATTTAATTCGGTAAAGAATTTCGATGTGACCCTGAGGCAAAAGTTGTTCATTGCCCTTTTTGTTAGTTGCATCTTAGCCCTCCTCAGCTCTTCTGTCCTTCAAGCCCTTATCAGTGGGGGGTTACTGTGGTGACAGCTGTGTTTTCTCTTCCAGGGCGGGCTGGTGATGCCCTCCTTGCGAGGGGGACTCAGTAACATTTGTCAAGGGACGCCGGGCCCGTTTCCCGTCTTGTATAATAAGGTTTGTTAAACTTTGTTTCTTCAAAAAAAAAAAAAAAAAAGCCTAAAAAGGTTGTTCACTGTTCAGTTTATTTTTCTGCATGACTGCCATAACATAGTTTTTTAACTTTTTTTCGTGGTTTTTTTTTTTTTTTTTTTTTTTTTTTTTTTTTTTTTTTTTTTTTTGGGACCTCCCTGGTCGTTGCACAGTCGGGCCGCCCGGGAAAACAGGTTGACCCGGGCGGCCCGGCTGGTAGCCTAGGAAACTGGGCGCAAAACCCCCAGCAACAGTTTTTGGGGCTCAGCATCGATGTTGGGAAGGACCCTTGCCGGCTCGCCCTTGAAGTTCCAAACTGGACGTCTGGACTCTGGTCTGGATTCCGGTGCGGACGTCCGGATCATAGCCATGGAGGGAACCATTTGAGAGAATTATAAGTTCTAACAGTATTCAGCCAAAGCAAACAACTTACACCTTGTTGTCGGAGGAGCCAGTGCCTTCAGGGCGTCGCCACCATTTAAACCACCAGCCCATCTGAAGCAGAATTGACGAACCAAAACATGCATTTTTCTTAGCCTGAAAGTGACCGGTATCGGCCGTTGGAAAAATCAAAACAGGACAGGTACCGGCCTCTGTATTGTTGAAAAGTCTGGGCCTGCCACAGACATTTTGAGGCCTGAAGTTACTGTTCATCAGTTCCTCTACTGGCCCTGCGCCGAATGGCCCACGGGCGACACTTGTATACGAAAATGGATGAACAGCAACTTTGGTTGGACTGGTCTATAATCTTCCTTTTGTAATAATAATATGATGATAGTTCTTGGCTGAAAAGGTGTTTGACTGACTGAAAAAGAAAAGATTTGCAAGACAAAACAAAGTTGTCCTTGGTATTTAGACACATTTCCAACAGTCGTAAGCTCTGTGCGACTCGATGTCTGAGGCTGGCAGACTCCATGTTGCTTGCGGTTTTGTATGTGTCCGGACAACAGGTTTGTTGAGCAGCTGGTTGCAAGCGCTCAGGCTGCTGTGGATGAAGTTGTCCGACGGGGGGTAAGTGGGTTTTTTTTTTCTTTTTTTTTTTTCTTTTGGAAATCAGAGCGTTTTTGCCCTATCTGCTTAAGTCACCAGTACCTCGCCCTGCTAAAAAATCCCGACGCGGCCCACGACCGGCCGTTCAACTGCACGTTTGATAATTAAATACCTTTCCCGACCCATTGAGACTGCCTAACCCAAACAAGAGCAATGAGCGTTTTGCCGGAATTTCACCGGCTCATCAGAGGCCTGACACTTGCGGGTAACCTCCTCACACCGCAAATCCTCCGCAAGTCATGTCGACACTCACGACGCAATTGCGCCGCGGCATCATCCACTACCACACAACTTCACGATGCGAAGTCCACCAGCAAGCAGGGGGAATTGATAATTAAATACCTTTCCCGGCCCATTGAGACTGCCTAACCCAAACAAGAGCATGAGTGTTTCGCCGGAATTTCACCGGCTCATCAGAGGCCTGACACTCACGGGTAGCCTCCTCACACTGCAAATCCTCTGCAAGTCATGTCGACACTCACGACGCAATTGCGACGCGGCATCATCCACTACCACAAAACTTCACGATGCAAAGTCCAGCAGCAAGCAGGGGGAATTGATAATTAAATACCTTTCCCGACCTATTAAGACTGCTTAACCCAAATAAGAGCAATGAGCGTTTCGCCAGAATTCCACCGGCTCATCAGAGGCCTGACACTCGCGGGTAACCTCCTCACACCGCAACCCCATAGGGGGGTCGTGCAGTTGAACGGTTGGTCATTCCCAAAACGACGGGCAGATACTGAATAGCAAAAGCAAAAAAACAGATGAGAAAATATACTGGGAAAAAGGGAAAAGGAAATCATTTCGGGAAAAAGACGTGCAATGAACCCAGTCGGGAGAGAAGCACGTCAATGTCAAAATACAGAATGTCTCAGCGCGGTCTTAATGTACCCAAGTAATTGTATCATACTTGCGGCGCATCGACCCTGTGCGCTGCGCGGTGCGCTGCGCAGCGCGCGGAGCGCGGACCCGAGGTGCGCGCGCACCTGAACCCAGTCGGGAGAGAAGCACGTCAATGTCAAAATACAGAATGCCTCAGCGAGGTCTCAATGTACCCAAGTAATTGTATCATACTTGCAGCGCATCGACCCTGTGCGCTGCGCGGTGCGCTGCCCAGCGCGGGAAGCGCGGACCTGAGGTGCGCACGCACCTGGGTGCGCGGTGCGCGATGCGCTGCGCACAGGGCTGGTGCGCCGAGCGCGGGTGCGCTGGGGGGGGCGCGCTGCGGGGCCGCATATGCGCCAGGTGCGCACAGCATATATTTTTTATTTTTTATTTTTATGTTGAACTGAAAGTTGAAACACCCCCACCCCC